GGAATCAAGCCGAGCGCGGCGTCGATCGCGATTGTAGCACTGGAAAGCGCCAATGGCTTGCGCGATGAGCTGAGCCTCGGCGCACTGGGGTTCGGAGCCGGGGGTCGGGAAGGGCGCGGCTTTCGCTAGGAGAAGAACTTGATTGCCATGGTGTTCTTCTTCGCCGGGAAACAGCAGGCACAGGTCCGCGGTGGTATGGACCGTGCGTCCGCACATAAAGAGCGGTAAGTCGTGATCCCTCCGAAGGACGCGTCGATGATGCCCTACGTGCTCGTTATGCAGCTTCGACGGCTTGGGCTCAGTGAACCCGAGGAGCTGAAGGGTGTGGAATATGAAATCGGTGATGGCGGAGGTCTGGAGCTCGCCCGCGACCATTGCAGCTTCGAGGTATTTGAAGAACGATCGTTCTTCATTCATGAGCGCTGTATGTGTTTGCAAGGGATGTGGTTGCTGGGGGAACGCGGCTTTGGTGCTCAGTATCGCAGGGCTGACGCTCGGAACGGGCACCTCCTTAAGGCCATCGAAGAACGATGCGAAATCGACATCGATGATATTTACGTTGCAGTGTTTGAGGTCAGAATTGTTCCATTCTGAGCCTGATTTAACGGAAAAGGGACGCGCCTGCGGGGGATGCTGCATCGTCGAGGCGCGTGGTGAGCAGTGGGACTGCAGAGATATGGAGGCCTTATAGGATAGACCAGAATAGGAGGGCTGAATTTGAATCATTGGGATTGGTTCCATGTTATTCAAAGGTGAGACATTCGTGTCTGTTTATAACATGCTCATGCGAACCATTTTCACATCGCATGGCCACCAAAACCATAGTCGTAATGAGTGGAGTCATATTTTAAGCTCCGGCGAATAATAATCTTGACGAAAGAAGCATGAAGTTCTGCAAAGGCGGCCCTGCATAGCTTTCCAACCGGAAAAAGTAAACCCAGACCTTGAGTAGATACGAATGATAACCCAAAATCACAAGCTGTGAAAAATGTCACGCCACGGTCCTCAATTGAGTCGATTTCATGGGAGTTCAACGTGATATAGAAGCGGAGCGGAACAGGAGGTCCAAGAAATCAAAATCTGGAAAGGGAGGAGTAACAGACGGGGTAACTTTCACTTGAAAAAAAAATAGGGAAATTCACCACCTAAATCTATCGAAATCTGGACACAAAGCGTTGACTATAGATTTGAGTGTGGGGAAGGAAATCAAGATGGATATCAGTCCGAAATTCGTCACACAGCCACATCGAAAGCTTGGTTTAACATTCGATTTTAGACGCGCCCACATCTCCCCACCAAACGTCTTCCTGGTTTTTACACTGGTCAGAAATGACGTGGTATAGGAATGCGATGTCACATTTTTCGAGTACGGAGCCTAGAGCAACCGTGATATCAGTCTCAGTGCCGTACAATTACCAGTAGCGATGGAAGTTTTCCAGCTGTAAGCAAATGAGATGAACTCGGATTCAGCTGTGTGTTGAAAGTAGAAGGGATGCTCGCATAAAGCTTCCTGATGTCGCTGGTATGCACGCGTTCAGAGTTTTCTGCCAGCAGTCATTTGAACCGTTCAAAAGGCGGAGTGCGTCTCTTCTTCCTCCCTAGGTTCAGCTTCGCTCTGAGCGGGCAAAAACACAAAGACAGGAAACAATAATTAATACATTTCCAATTCGCTACGATAGGTCATAAAAGTCATACAAATACAAGAGCATGTCGTATCTAAGAACCGGTACAAAGCATTGGTGGAACAAAGAAAAATTTATCTCTGGTAAACAGTCACGAAGCACGAAGCATGGCTGCATTACTGCGGCCCAGGGTGGGCTTCCGTTATATTCAAAATCTCGACATCAGAGTTGAATTTGCTGAATGCAGGACAGAGTTCGTCGAAGGATGCTAATTGAAAAATTCGATTTAGCCGGCGATGATCTTCCCAACGCAATAATAATTATGAAGGGTACTCACGAGGAATGGGTTTAACATGCGCCGCCGTGCCTTCTGGATCCTCGGCAAAGACTACTGCAAGGCCACTAAGATGATATACGTATCAGAATGCTGCAGACTCTTCCAGGACGTGAGATACCCACAGTTCAATGTGCCAGTCGATATGGCTGTTGTTGAAGTGGACTGTATCAGAGAACTGAATTCCATAGAAAGTCGACGCGCCACTTACCAATGAAGGAACCACGGCCCAGAATTGTCGGTGACGAAGCGGATGACAGTAACATTACCATCATAACCCGTAGGTACAGTGTCGCGCCGGGCAGGATTGACCCAATTATACGTATCGCTGAGGGCGTTTTTGACGACCCAGAAAGAATGCTACAATGAATTTCCTGTGTGTCAAAAAAGTTGGAAAGAACATGACGGAAACTTGTGCTTACACCGTGCAGATGGAAGGGGTGCTGCAGAAAAGGTAAGGTCAGTTCCGATATCAGTGCCCAAATCTCCAAACGGCGAGGGTACTCACGGGTGCACCTTTGGAGACACCGTGGATTTGCAGTTCAACAGAAGAGTTAGGTTTAAGGGTGTAGACGCTTCCGTTGGGCATCAAGTCAGTCGCTGCATATGTCCCGTTTAAGATTTGTAGGAGGACGGGCACGCTAGGCGATTCATATATGGCTCCGTTAATGTCAAAGACCTCAACATCGTCATGCCATGTTGGAATGATAGGGATGACAATGTCTGCTCCACCAAGCAGAGGCTCGCCTGGCGGTTGAGGAGTTACAATGGACTGGAGATCGTCCTCGTTCAGCGGCATAGTCGATACACCGTCCGTCGTCGGATCGACAGCTGGGGCACCTGAATATCGCAGGATAGCAGAATTTCGACCATTGTCGAAACCAGGATAACCTCGGGGTGACAAGGGGTCTGCGCGGACCCAGTAGTTGCCTACAGGGCGATTCGCTTCTACGATGACGGAGTAGCGCTGTCCGGCATAGACCCAGAGAGAATCGACGACGAGGGGGGCGGTGTATTCACCATCGGTTTCGATGATGGTCATTTGGTGATTGTGGATTGTGAAATTGAAAGGTGCGTCGCAGGAAAGGCCGATGAGGCGGAAGCGGTATCTCTTCCCGGCCTCTACGTTAATGACGGCTAAGGGAGATAAAAAATTCACAAGAACTTCGCTCCACATTGTGCGACCGCGGCCATTTATAAGAGTAGACAAAGAGTGGCTAGAATTCATCGGTGTTGGTGACGCTGCGTGAATCCTACAAGGGGTGTTCATCGAGCGTTATCTTTTGAACGAGGCATAACTCTCACCAGTCGGATAAGGTAATAATAGTTGACTCTGCAATGCAATATTATTTTAAGATTACAAACAGGACAAGTTGGATCATGCCTGGTACTCACCATCATCGACGTCATATGAACCTAGATATGGATCATCAGGATCGTATATGACCATTGGGCCACGAAGACCATCGCAATATTGGGTAGCTATAGAATCGTTAAAATAAAATTGACACTCAAAAGAGACATCGCTTACAATAATGGGAATGGTACCAATAGGTCCCCGCTTGTTCATGAACACTGAAGTTGTACAGGAAAGAATTTCCGGGAACAATGGGACACTGAGTAACCATTGCAACTCCGTCATCCCAGTTCGTGCCGTTTTGGAAGATGCCATGCCAATGCTAACATAACAAAAATAGGTATTCGGAACGCCGGTAAATAGGATAAGGTTCTTACGATACTCGTCGCCCTCAGCATCCTTGGATCCGTTAAGGAGTTCGTTACATTGATAGTAAAAAGATCGCCCTATAGGTCACAGCTTCAATGTTAGAAAGTTCAGCAAAATGTAGAATGACTTTACCTTATTGCCTATGATGGCTGGGCCTGGATATGAACCATTTGCGAGAACAGCTCTATATAAGAGAATTAGATATAGAGGTCATTGGAACGAGGAGTCGCACTCACGGACGTGGAAACAAGTCAGGGTCGATTACCTTGTTGACAATCTCCAAGCTGGTGACAACGTTAGCACCAACGCCATTGGCGAGCACCAAAGAAAGAAGGCCAAGGTCGAGTATGCGCCCAAACATCGCAGTGACAATGCTATGAAGATTTATTGGTCGAACATTGCAGTGGCTTTATAGCTGGATGCTCGGACTCGGAAGTATGCCGTGACATTTCCTGAAGGGTTAGAAGAGGAGGCTCCGGATGTGTTTCATACCGGTTGTACCTCATGCTTCAGCGGTCTTTGCGCGACTGTATGTTGATACAGAAATAAGTACAGAAGAAAGCTTTGAGCAATGCAATGAGCAAGCAATGAGGGCTCTAAGATTTGAAGGGTGTCACAAGGAAAATTTTATCGAAGCATACTGACGTTTGGAATGGACGCTCAGGAGTCGGTGTCGTAAGAGTAGATGAAATGACAATCTGTCATCGTACATACTGGACACTAAATATTTAGTTATGCAGAGGAAGAAAGGGGTGAAGAGACTTATTATCATACTAGCAGTGATCATGAGTAGTAGCTCTTGTCTGGCTCTTGTAAAGATCGAAATTCTGCAAGTTGCCGACACCTGTGGAGTAACCTGCAAGTTTATTCGGTTCCGAGAACCTAGGAGGAGCATGCTTTCAGCCTTGCACAACCTGAATCGAGAACACAAGGGGTTATCATGATAAGCCATTGAAGGCAGAACGTGCCGAATCCGTCAAACATTTCCTCAAAGCTTGAAGAATGCATTGCTTTCTCTTTCGCCGCTCAAGGTCCCCCATGCACATCACGGGGATTCCAGGCTTCCGGACGGGTATGAGATGGAAAGAATGTTACTAATGAGCTACAATATGAGTGTATGACAGGACGGATTGTGGAGTGGCAAGCACCTTTTTGACTGAGTTTTCACGGTGGCTCACAATGTCCGTGAGTCGTTCTGGTCAAGTCTTCCAGCTTCAAAAGTCAACAGCAGATAGATATCTCATGCCTCGCGTAAGTTAAAGTTGGAGAGCAGAGAATTGCCAGCCGAGTAGATCTTTGTTTGGTAACAGATAAAAAATCCGATCTGCCTGGATCGAACAGGCGACCTCAAGATATGATATCCGTTACAGTCTCGCGCTCTACCAACTGAGCTAAGATCGGTGACGACATTTGTCAAATAACTGAAAACATGTAGAGGAGTGAAAGGGTGAAGAGAACATTAGTTCAAAAGCTTGAAAAAAAGGAGGGCGAGGATGCTTCAAGCAAGTTCGCGATTGCATAAATAAGATCTGCAACACGTGTTGTTCATGATTGTGACCGTGACGACAAATTTCGAGTCATGCTTGTTCAGCCATCATTCATCATAAAGCATTCGAAGCTCGAGCATAGGCTCACCAGTGTCCTATTTCATGCGTCATGGGTTAAGTACGAACGCGATACGCTTTAATTCC